AAAAAAGACTCTAAAGATTACTTTTAACTATTTAACTTCAATTCTCTAAGCTTGAAATAGAAAATATATTTTGTTAACAATATATATATATATATATGAATGTGTTTAGGTACAAATGAACGTTTTTAGGTATAAATAAGGCCTTTTTTGCATATACGCTGAACACTGTAAAAGAGTTTCCATCTTTTTAACAAAAACTCTTTAATGGAGTGTATTTAGATGGCTATCAACTGCGTTTTGAACTATTATCTTAAAGGCAAGTGCATATACTACTGACTTAGGAATCAATGTAGTTTAAAGAGCAAATTTTTAAAAGTTTTCGTGCTTGTCTTCGTGAAAAAACATCTATGGAAAATGAAATTCTACTTTCTTAGTCTGTAGTTCAAAACATGTGTGCTACAATCATAAATACTCATGAAAAATTACAAACAATTATTTTAAAAACAACAGGAAATATCGTGTTTAAGTGATGAAAAATGTGAAAAAAATCTGATTTTGAGACAACGCATTTCAAAATTTAAAATGTATTAGTCTATCCACATCACTTTGCAGAAAAACTGCTATAACTTTGTAAATAATTGCAATGCAAGCTAATGTAACGTATTTTTAGGAAGCTATGAGTGCAGGGATTTTAAATTTGTTATAAATCCATGTCGAAAATTTTGCCTGAAATCATATTTTTGCGCTAGTCATGTTTTTTAACTTAAATAATCGATAAAACCCTATCAGAAAATTACAAAATTAGAATCAATTATTTTATTATTCTTTCATATTCCATTCTCATTTGAATAGATAATTATTTTACTATTTTCAATCACCGCATTGGCAAAAGAAAATATTATGACAGGAACCATATCCATGGCCTTCGCTAATGCAACAACTTAAACATTGTTTTGGGGACAATGGGCATCCTTGAGTACATTCAGCTTTCACTTGAACTATAGAATCTAAAAATACAAATTTAAAGCATTAGCTATTTGTGGAACTTAATTTATCATAAAGAAGCAGTGTACCATAAAAAAATAATTATCATTTATTTTTATATTTGATGCTAGGCACGTAACTTTTGCGTGACAGTTATGCATATGCGCGATATCTTATGTGACAAGTTTAAAAAAATTATGATTTACAGGAACCAATTTTCGTATTTAATGAAGTTTGGAACAAACGTTTCATAAAATGCTTTAAAAAAAGACATTTACAAAATAAATTAAATAAAGCAACCTTTTTTCATAAAATTTAATTTTAAAAGAAAGCGTTACAAAAATCTATTCTACCGGGTAGCAATCTTTTGGACATGGCGAGCGTTAGGAAGCAGGTGGCGGAAACCGTCAGTAATCATAATAGTTACCATAAAAAATAAAGCGTTCTCTTATGACGTCACTGACAAGAGTTTATTTGAAGGTATTTGACGATAAAAAAAACGTCTTGATTGTAGATTCGATCATTCTGAAAGTGCAAACGATGTCTGCCCCCGTAGAAGAACTCTAGTACTCTACAGTTACAAAGTAAATTTACAAAAATTTACGGTATAGTTTTAAAAGCTTGCCTTGTCTATAAAAGTATACGGTAAATGAACGTTAAATTATATATTTTGACTGTGTTAAAAAAAAGGTTCCAACACAAAAAGATTTCAATTTTAAGATTTTGAGTTCTAGTGTCCCATTAGGCTGTTATCTCGTAACACTAAACAGATCAACTTCATACTTATATTTCTTATAAAAAATTCTTAAACTTATTTTTCACAGTTAAAAATGCATAGCTGGAAAATTATTAATACTCTAATAATTTGTCTTTTTTCAAAATTTATGAGAAAAATATATAAATCGTTTAGCATAAATTTAATTCTTAAATGAGTTTTGGAAAAAAAAATTATTTTCCAATCTATTTAGCAGGTTTCTGATATAGAAGTTTCGAGAAGATAATTTTGGTCCAATTTACATCGAACCCTCCATTAATTTAATCATTCTACGAATGATGAAATTTAGTTATCCTGAAATACTTATTAAACTTACCTGAAACAATCACCAAAACAGTCATCAGAACAACAACAGCAGGCAGCTTCATTTCGGTTCAGATAAATCTTCATACAATTTAAAAAATAATAATGCATATTTTGTTAACAAAAATATAGTATTTCTTTAAATATCAAAAGAACAAAGTTATTTGTCAGCCAGATATCACAAGATATACTAATACATGCTACATTTATATATGCATGTCAAAAACATTTAGTTAACAAGTTACAAGTTTAGTTAACAAGTTACATTAACAAGTTAAACCCCACTAAGACTCGGGTTGAATACAACTCGACTTTCCATACATGAAGTAGAGCTCTGGCCTCCCAATGATTTGTCCCATATTTGAATTCATGTAATGGATGAATGATTCGTAAACCACAGAGATCAAATTTCTTCAGAAGTAAGCGAATCATGGATTAGAAAATCTTGTTCGGGGACATAACAATAGGATACAAGGATCCTGGAGATTCCCTCTCCCCTTGAAACAAATGTGGTCCATTAAAATATCTTCTTTGAAAGAAAGTTTGTCCTAGTGCTTGATCCTATAGTTCTAATGTCCACCGGATCTAATTTAAAATTTAAAAACTGCGATTAATTTGATAGCCGAAAATCTGATATAAATTAAGTTGTTCATCACAGGTGACAAAACTTAAAATTTTGAGAACTCTAGTTCACTTTTCATTCTGTTTTTTAAGTAGGACTTGACTTTTGAAGTCAAAATTACAAATCTCTTAAGATATTTTTATTCAAAATTGTTTATTTTGAACGTAAATTGAAGTCAGCAAATAAAATTGTAAGCACATCTTGCGTTTTGAAGTATATACAGTGTGGAAAAATGTGATCACCTAAATTTCTAACTGTTCAATTTTAACTTACTATTAGCTTTCGAAAGATTAATTTTAAACATGCTGATTAATTACATCAGACGATATCATGCATAATAACATAAAACACTTTCCCTTAGTAAAGAAGCTTTTTGGGGAGATTTAGGTTCTTGACCCTCAACTTCTGGGTAGCCAGACCAATTAATTTAATGTTTTGAAAATATGACCCAAATAATTTAGACAAGAGAGCACTCGAAAGTCAATTTCAATTTAGCGCAAGAATTCCGCTATCTAAAAAAATTATTATTTAATCAAAAGCTATTCGAACGATGCCTTCCAAAATTGGAATTTTGTTTTTTAAAACAACGTAAATTAAATTGGGGTAAGAATTCACGTACTTTACAGTTAAAACATTTTTCGAATATTCGCAAGTTAAACAATAAAAATTAGCAAAGAATTTTCTGCATTTGCAATTATGTTTGGTAATTTTATATCTGTAAATTTTATTTTATGTTCGAAGAAATGGAGAAAACACAAAAAAGAGAAATTAAGCGGCCGAACCATTCCTCAGCTCAAGTGTTTAAATAATTGGGGCCATATTTTCCAGCTTATTGAGTGTTTAGAATTTAAATTTGCAGAAAAAGATAGGTTTGTTGAAAAAAAAGCCTATCTGCTGAATGAAAAATATTACGTATATAAAAATTAAAAGTATAGTTTTGCGAGAGAAAATTCATTTAAAACTCCTTTATATGGAGAATAGTATTTATAATAATGAATCACATGATAATTGCTTACATGATAAAAGAAATATTTTATAGATCAAAAATCAAACCCCACTATCAATAGAAAATCAAAATTAATAGTATTTCATGCAGAAAACAACATTAAAATGCATTAATCATGGCAAAGTGTCAAAAAAATTTTATTGAACATAAATTAAAATCTTAATTTTACATACAAAAAAAAATTCTGTTGAATTTTAAACATTAAAAAAACTAATCAAATCGTAACTGCTGATGGAATACACAAAATATAACCATAAAAATTAAAAGCCTAAATTGTCAAAAAAAGTAATTGATTTTAACTACTTGAAGTACTAAGTACTAAAATAACATTTTAAATACTTAATCAAACTACAATTGTTTCTAGAAAGAAAGAAATTTTGGATAAGTATTAAAACCCATATTTTCCAAGGAAGATTTAAAATTATTTTTCGCAATAACCAATGTTGAAATAATCAATCCAATCACAATGCGTAGAGAATTAAAAAATAAAATCTATAAAATTTTTTATGAGCAATTTTCGTTAGAAAAAGGTTTTAAAAATCATAAATACTTGCAAGTGTATGCTTTCTAATATCCAAATGCAAGTTCTGATGTTATTGCACACCTAGATCATTTCAAGTTCAGTTTTATTAAAAATATTACACTAGCAGTTTTCAAAACTCTTACATTTTCCTTGCATCATTTTGTTGTTTCATCTAATTTTATGATAAAAAATCTTTATCATTGTCACATATATTCCATATATTTTTTATAAAATTGTAGCAATATATATACAGCTAAAAAGATGATAGGCAAGGAAGATAAAATAGATTGCCTTGGAATTTCATCATTTTAAATTTAGTTACATTCAGTTAAATTTCATTTTAATTTATATTTAATTTAATTTTTTAATTTAATCAAATTCAAATTAAATCGAAAGTATTAACTTCATTTTCAAAATATTTCAATTTAAAATTATATTTAACAATGCATTAAATAATAACTTATCAAATTAATTTTTGAACAATATCTAAATGTTCTGTAGAATGTTATTAAACTGAAAAAATATCAATTTATTAAATTATAAATAAGACAAATTGATATTTTAAAATAGTAATTAAAAAATTCGTGTTTTATTCGTGTTATAAAATTCTGCTTATTTAATCTCCAACGAAACTTCGAAAAAAGAGCTAAATTTATTTCCCTCTTTATTTCCCGAATGGATTAAGGAATGGTGGATATTCCAAAGTGGAAAGAAATGGATAAAAAATAAAATTAAAGAAAAAACCCAAACAAAAACTTTTGACTTAAAAAAGCACACTCATTGTAATAAAAATTAGCGCATTAAAAAAGGTAGTCAGAATGAAACTTAATTGCACATACAGAAACACAAAGTTGATATAAGTAAGTAAATAGAAAATCAAAGCAAGCAGTAAAATCACAACAAAATGGTAGTTTTAGTACCCTTTTGGGTCACCTCTAACGCAAACGCTTGATGCGATACTGTCAGGCACTTAAGCATCCAAGTCCTTTATGATATTTTATTGCATATTGTTCAACACTTATTGTTTTTACAAATCGACCTAACTCAGAAGATATTCAACTTGCCTTAATACTATATTGCCTTAACTTGAAACCTTATCTTAGTGCATTTTGATAGATTGGTAACTAGAACGAAGACTAGACTATCGAAACTAGAATGGTGACATAAGGCGACTGATCTGTATGGGGTCAAGGAGTTAGTTCAGGGAGACCTCATATTCAAATTTTGCTTCAGGCATAAATGTAGTTTAACTCTCTTCTCTATCTGTCCTTCTGTTATTAGGGTGACATTGATCAACATTATGGTGCCCACTTAAAAGAAAAAGGGATCATAAATTCCACCGGCACTTTACATTTATTTATTATTATTCTTTCATTCATTTATTTTTCATTTACATAAGCATTTCTGAAAAATAACATTGAATGGCGAAAGCCATTTCCTCGAACATTTGGGGATAGGTATTCCATCATTTAGGCAAAATATTCCCTCGAAGCTTATATCAAGAATTTGTTTCGTAAAAAAACGAAGAAAATTTCATTACATTTGACCACCCCACTACCCCACAGAAGAGGATTTGTATTCTTTTAATGCCATAGAAATAACGAAAACTATTCAAGCACACCATGAAATATGATTCAATAGAGGATACGACACCAACCAACCCCATTAATTACAGTGTACTATACCCACGATATAATAAGATAATGCCAATTAAAGTATGAAAATGATTTACTAAATTTTAAGAAAAAAACGTTAAAATTATAAATTGAAATGAAAAAGCGCTAAAAGCAGCTAAAACCAATTTTGTCTGATTTAACGAATTTAAATAAAAAGTTAGAAACCGAAAACAAGCAAAAAAACGGAATTCTAAAGATATGTATGTTCGCAACAGCCTTTCTGTAGTCAGTGGATAAACCAAAAACTGATTGTGCCCTTAGGCCTCCAAACGGATAAATTAAATAGGAAAATGAAATCAAAAATTCAAATACAGATGAAAATTCAATGATACACAGAAAAACACAAGTCAAAAGTACTTTGAGAAAATACAAATAAGGACACATTTACAAATAGGAAATATAAACAAAATTACAGTTAGAGTAACCAAATCAAAATAAAATAAAATATAAATTGCCAGATCCTTAAAAATTTAGTGCTGACTAATTTCGTAAAACTTAATACATAAAATAGAGCAAAAACTTTCAATGATTAAAAAGTCCCATAAAGTGCTGCCATCTATATTCGTCTGGAACAAAAAACCCTAAATTTCACCGCTTACGTTTATTTATACGGATTCCAATATTGGGCGAATTAGTTGAACGTCTTTAAAATACTTTGAGTTAAGAAATTAGAATTACAATAATTAAAAGGAAAATTATTATTCTCTAAGGTAAGTTTGAAATTCTTAATAGCTAAAAGAAAACCTGTGTTATTATTGCAAATAAATTAAAACCGAAGAATTTGACCCATCAATATTTATAGAAATTAGATTTTCAAAATTTGTAGAAAGAGCATAACTCTAAACAATCTAATATATTCATATAAAACAGCTTTTCCAAATAAATTTCACATTTTGATGACTCAGTATTTCTAAGTATAATCGAAGTAAATTTTAGTTTTTACTATTTCTTATATTTATTTTTAATATAATTTTGCTTCATCACAAATGATTGGTACTTAATCTTTTTGACGTACGTATCATGCTGGAAAATAGTTTCGTTTTCTTTTGAAATTTAGTGATTTATTCCATTTTATAAAGTGCTATCCTTGAATCATTATTTTTGTATTATTCTTAATCACTTTAATGCAGAGTACGTTTAGATCGCGCTATTTGTTTTGTAATAACACAATTATTAGGCCAGAATAAATTAAATGAATAATACTTTTCCTTTTAGAAAATCATTCTATTTAATAAGGAATAGTCTTTCTGGTAATGTCTGCTTATTACTTGGAATAATTTTTTCTCCTGAAATGATCGAACTTCTGTATGAAAATAACAATTCGAATATTTCTAATTTTGTGTAAAATATGAATAAAATATACTGCAAGTCGGGAATTTTTATCTAACATAAGATGAGTTAAAAAGTGCAGAGAGAATATTCGATAAACAGCAATTTGTCTAAAACTGATGTGCTTATTTGTAACGAGTTTAGCAATTTAAAGCATAATGACGAATATCTACATCATATGCCAGAAACCTCGGATCTTTTTTACAAAATTTGCATAGGGATTCTCTAACATTTTACTAAAACTATAATTTCCAAACGTAACTAGAATCGTTGAAAACTTTCTTTTTTATATTTTCATTATGGGCGTGATATCGCAGAACAATTTTTATTTCGGCGAGAGTTGCGAATTTTAACAATTTATTTAATCTTTCAAAAATTCCACTTTTATTTTATCCTAATTAATGCGACTATATAATTTTATCTATATCAAGCTAAATGAATTATTTTCGGTCAAAGGTGCGTATACCGTTGCATTTCAATTAATATTTTTTCATTGACACTGTGATGTATAGTTTTCACTAATTTTATTTTTCTGTACTTTTTAAGGTTCTGAAAACATCGATAAAATATTAGTAATTCAATTGAAGTAAAGACTATCTGTTAAGATATTTTTAAATTGCTCTATTTTTTTTAACTTTGAAGCATTTGTTGATAAACTTGATTTTTTAAAAATATATAATTATTCCTCTTAGGAGGAATCGTGTATGGATTAGAGGTTCAAGTACTGTAAATTAAATTACCATTTTATTCACTATAACCATTTTTGCGCCATGACCATTCTGCAGCATTACCCTAATACATTTTATTACCACTTATTTGCGCAATTTCATTTCATAAATAAAGTATTATTTTCATGCATAACTAAATTCGTGTCTTAATGAATGTAAGTATACTTAAATAATAATACCAAGAATTTTAATGAAATTTCTATACTTTACCTAAAATTGGTAATGTTAAATAAAGAAGTTTATACAGGATAAACAGCTTCAAATATAAAAATGTCAGAAGCATAATCTTCGGCTTAAAGCCGATGTGAGTAAGATGAAATATTTGCAATAAATATTTAACTATAATCCGGACACTTAGAAAACATTGATTCCATATACAGAAAAATGTAGCTTCCATTATCATTGAACTAGTCGCATATGTTTACGTTTAAAGATTTAAGTGCTTTAAGTGTGCAGATATCCGATTCCGAAAAAGACGAACAAGTTTGATATAATCTTGTAAAGTAAGTGAATTCTGTGCAATTATACTACAGTTTGTATACTTAGGAAAAGTTTGTTCCAGTAAATAAAAAACTGCAAGATGTCAGGATTCCATATACAGAAAAAATTTAACTTCTATTAACATTGAACTAGTCGCATGTGTTTACTTTTAAAGATTCAAGTGCTTTAAGTGTGTAGATATCCGATTCCGAAAAAGACGACAAAGTTTGATACAATCTATGAAATTGACTTTTTCCTCATTGATGCGTATATCAGATGCTATTCATACCAAATTGATTAAACCAAATGAAGACATTATTACAGTACAAACAGCTTCAAATACTAAAATACCAGAAACATTGTAATCTGCTTTCAGAAATCCGAACGTGATGTGAGATAAGTTGAATTTTGTGCAAATATACTACAGTTTGTACACTTAGAAGAAGTTTGTTCCAGTAAATGAAAAACTGCAAGTTGTCAGGATTCCATAAACAGAAAAAATGTAACGTCCACTAATATTGAACAAGTTACACACGTTTATGTTTAAACATTCTCTTTTCTTAAAAGATTCAAGTGTTTTAAGTTTGTAACGATCTGATTCGGAAAACATCAAACAAGTTTCATATAATCTTTCAAAGTGAACTTTTATTCTTTCCTCATTGATGCGTATATCTGATGCTATCCATACCAAACTGATTAAACAAAATGAAAATATTAATACAGTATAAGCAGCTTCCGATACTAAAATCGCAGAAACATTGCAGTATGCTTTCAGAATCCCTAACGCAATGTGAGATAAGATGAATTTTGTGCAATTATACTACATTTTTTACACTTAGGAAAAGTTTGTTCCAGTAAATAAAAAACTGTAAGTTGCCAGGATTCCATAAACAGAAAAAATGTAACTTCTACTAATATTGAACAAGTTACAGACGTTTATGTTTAAACATTCTCTTTTCT